ATGCTTCCCTGAGAATCTTTCAGGACCCTAAAGCAACATCACAGCACAAGATGGGAACAAGAAATTCTGGCTCCTAGCTCTACCCTCCACAACTTAACTGTTGTAGTGACTCGGAAGCACACAACAGAACATGACTGGGTGGCAGCCTTCAGTGAGAAAAAGCCAGGAAAGACTCAACTCACCAAGCACCAACAGCTCCAAGCAGTCAGGGGGCTTTTATTCTCATTAAGATTTTTTTTTTCTGAAGTCATTTTACCACTGCATTTTTTTTTAACTCAATTTAAGATAATTCTAAGGGTGGGAATATAGTTCAGCTGGTAGAACGGCTACCTAGCAGGCTTGAAGCTCTGGGTTCTCTCTCCAGTACTCCATAAAACTGGCTTTGGTGACCTGTAATCTCAGAACTCCGGAGAGGTAGAGTCAGGAAGATTAAGAGTTCAAGGTCATCATTGGCTACAAAATGATCCCGAGGCTGGCCTGGGATACATGGGACCTCTTAGTAATAATAGTTCTATAATGGTATCAGCAAACATGTGCTGGGTGCCACTTGACCAGAAACAGCTCCCAAGGAACAATTTGTATTCATTTCCAAAATAACATAGTGAGGAACACAACTTGTTTTTAAGAGAAGGAAATTGAGGCTTGATGGGATTTCATGGCTATGTCCACAGTCACCCAGCTGTCACTGAAGGCAACTGGAAATAGACTGAACAAATGACATCTCTAGATATCTCTACATCAGCAGCTAAGGTCTCTGCCTCTCGAGTTTCAGGACACAATGAACACACGTATGAATCAAAACAGCACATGCGCCCCTGCCTGTCATTTTTTAAGTTTTTGGTTTTTTTTGTTTTTTTTTTTTAATGGTGTGTGTGTGAGAGAGAGAGAGACAGACAGACAGGCGTGTGTGTGCAAGTACTTGCAGAGATCACAAGAGTGTCTGACCCTCTAGAGCTGGAGTCACAGAGAGCCATGAGCTAGCTGACATGGGTGCTAGAACAGAACTCAGTGCTCTCCAGGGGCAGCAAAGACTCTTCCCATTGAGCCATCTCTCCAGCCCCACACACAACATGCTTTTACGCATGTGCAATGCTTATGTTTTTATATATCCATTAAAGAATAAAGCCAATTTGAATACAAGAAATAAAACTTTGGAAAAACAGTCACTGGAAGAAGTGGAGATTGTGCTTTTGGGGTTCTGGTTTGTTTTGTTGTTTGCTTGCTTGCTTTTTGGTTTTTCGAGACAGGGTTTCTCTGTGTAGATTTGGAGCCTGTCCTGGAACTCTCTGTGTAGACCAGGCTAACCTTAGACTCACAGAGATCCGCCTGCCTCTGCCTGGGATTAAAGACCTGTGACTGCCCAGCAGGAAATGGTGTTATTATACCCAAGGACAATAGGACAGATGGTGAGTCACACCCAGGCTCCACTCTCAACCGCCCTCCAGTAGCTGCTAAAGTGTCTGTTGGTTCCTCCACAAAAGAAAAAGAAGCCACAGGCTGGAACAAAACTCTCCCAGGCAGCTGACACTTGGACCCAAAGGAGACAAAAAAAAAAAAAAGAAAAGGACGTGGCATGATTGATCTGTGTCAGCCTCTGGTCTGTTGCAGCTTCAAATTAAGTCATCTTTTTAGAGTACGACCATTTTAATTTTTAAAAAGACGGAGGTGGGGCAGATTCCTCTTACGTATTTTACAAAATGAAATGCCCCAGTGAAACAGGAAGACACAGAACGATCCCGTCTCTTCCTGATGAAAATGTACTTTGTTAATAATTGGCCACCGGCCTCCAAAGAGTGGTCCCTAGACTCACTAATAAAGCCCTGTGAACATTCAGATTGCAAAGGGTGAGATGGGTGAGCTGCAGGACTCCACAGGCCTGCCTTCTTTGCTCATTAAAATTCTGGACAAAACAGATTTTTATTTATATGAGACATTAAAGAATATTATGACAGCACTCGTATGAAATCCCTTCTTCGCTGCCACAGATTTTCTTTGGTCTCAAGTTACAGCTTCTTTCCACCCGTCTTGTTTAACACCTCCACGGAATATTTCTCTGGCAACTGCTAGCAGGGAGGGGCGGCCAGAAAGCAGAGAAAGGCGTTTTAACCTAAACACAAGCTGACACATCATTTACAAGCCCCTCACCCAGTCCACACAGAAGGGTACTGTCTGCCCTGTCATCATGCCACACACACACACACACACACACACACACACACACACACACACACACACACACACACAAGTTTTATGAAAGGAAGAGACAACATAAGTAAGGCTTCACTCAAAGCTCTAGACTCCTGCCAGCTGGGTTGTCGTCCCCAACTGTCACCTTGGTCTGGAACCCTGATGGCCAGGCTCAGTTCTGTGGGGAAATAACCAACCTCACCTCAACAACGCATGCCTCCCTGGGTTGAGCAACCCCAGAGGCACCTGAAAGGACTGACCAAGGGGTCAGTTAGAAAGCACAATTGAGTGATGTCACAAGGGAAGGAGAATGACCAGAACCCAAGAACCTAGAACTTCACTAGGAATGACTGGTTCTGCTCCTCATGGTCTGCTGACATCAGAGAGCCATGTCCCCTCACAATTGACAGGGAGGCAACACCCAGTGTTACCCCAACAGGGCCACACCCTGGTCAAGGGTCCAACTGTGGAGGCAGACTGCCTAGGTGTAATTTTTTATATTACTGCTCAACCCCTCAATGTTTCAGCTACCTCATCTGTCCAACGGAGGTGACACATCATCCTCTCACTAATTGCCTGGTACACACATTCAATTAATATCTTTACTGGATCTCTCGGAGAACTAGTGTGAAGCCCTAACATAAATAACAGTTACGAGGCAGGAAGGCTGTTAAGTTCAAGGCCTCTCTCAAAAATAATCAGTAATAATAGTGGATCAGACTTTGGCATCACCATGTATAAGCGTGTATATTTCACCCACAGGAAGCTACGAGAAAAAGGAAACAAGTTCACGGAAGCTAAGTGATCTGGCCAAGTTCACAACAGTTAATGACTGGCACAGCTGGCATCTGAAGCCAGGTGGTCCAGCTTGCAAACAACCGTCATCCTAATGATGATTAAAACAGCAATAATAATGGTGACGATGATGCCCTGTGAGGCTCTCGCCAGACCACGCTTTCATTTTTCACAAAAACCTTTGTGAAGGAGCAGATATCACCCCAGGCTCAGAGATGAGGAAACTGAGACAGAGCTGGGATTCAGATGTGGATAAAGGAAGGAACGTCCTTTACACAGTGATGTGTCATTAAATTTTTTAAAGACGGTCCTGTTCCTAAATCCTTGAATTCCCAAGGCAATGGATCTTTTTCCTCTTGATATTAATACACATCTGAAAGTCTGAGAACTCACAAACACCCCAGGCTTGGGCTGGGAACTGGGGAAGGTCCATCTTCTTTTGACAAGTCTGCGACTTGTTTTCAAGTGGAATGTTTGAAAGGCCAATGCCACTGCACATTAACGTGAGATAGTACCTTCCCGGCTGAAGAAGAAAGTCGGTGAGGAGAGGGAAACAAAAGGTGGAGGGCGCAGGTCTGGAGTCATAGTTTCACCAAGTCGAGGATTTTTCCAGTTTCCCTAAAGGGAAATCTGATCCAAGTTATGAGTGATCAAATGACTAACCTGGAAACTTGAAGATTCACACTAGGGAACAAACCGCAATTCTTCCAACCCCAGAAAACACTTCTGATTCTGAGATGGGAAGACTCACACACAGCATGGAAAGCAGCACACAGTTAAAGCCAACCCCAGAGTTTACACCACGTAAAGGAACCGAAGCTCCTCGTTAATTCCTATGATCTGTTTAAGAGTGGGGGGAAAGCCACCTTCAAGTATGCACTCTGCTTACTGAAGGGAATCGGATTCCACCTTTTAAAAAGAAGATGCACTCACTCATTCAAGTGGCAGGTTCCAGACCTGAAATTCTCAAAATACCATCCCTTTTTCTTTTACCAACATGCAAACTCATTTTCTCCTCTATACGATTAGAGGCTCTCCACTCTGAGAGCCTCCGCTTAAAGGAATAAACTGAATTTTCCAAGAGCCATCACCCTTTCTCTTTGTGCGCCTACAATTAGAAACCTCATACTTTTGTCCCTCCCAAGAATGTCAAGGACACGGGATTTACTGAAGTATAATGGACAGAAAGAACCAATGTACAAGGTATGAGGGTAACGCGAAAGCCATAAACCTGTTGAAGCCTAATGCACGGCTGCCTCCTTAGACTCACAACTGGCAGGCACAGGGGAAACATTGTTAACTACACACTTTACAAAAGTGCAAGCGCTGTCTCAACCTTTAAGTACACCTTGCAGCGCCACTCCTATGGGGCCATGTTGTTTCCACCTCCTGCATCTAGGCTCCAACTCTCTAGAACTCAGAAGCTGAGCTGTGTGAGTTTCTAGTGGCTCTGAATGATCCAAATGATCTAAAACTGGGGACATCCCTAGCTCCCTTCCCCACACCTACAACTTTAGGAGGTTCTATGGAAGGTTACACATACACACACACACAACACCA